GCCTCTATAGAGCTTTCTCGAGTTCAAGGTTCATCAGGTATCCTACTCTTTCAATGCAGAATGAATCATCATACAGACCCCTTACATCATAACATGCATACATGTACATACGTGTATGAAGAAACAAAGAAGTCCTCATATGTTTGTAGTCCTGAGTCCAGGTACCTATCCAGGCCTAGGTTTCTTTCATCACTGTCTTGTCATACTAAGGGTGCGTTTATGCTCAACTTTTGAAGGCAGAATGAGCGATTTGTAACGCTCATCGTAAACGCTCATCGTAATCGCAGTTCCACGGTGTACTGTTTATGCTCACTTCTCTGGCTCCTCCAGGCAATTCTCCCTGTGTGGCCTTAATTGGCCTAGCAGCTGGATTCGCAAACCTGCACCGTGCATGCTACGTAGACCCACTCGAGGTCAGTGCGTTGACCCCATTTAAACGCGTTTACAAATTGTAAATGCATCTTTTTGTGAGTTTACGATCGGCGATTGTGATCGCCGTTTTTCGGTGATTCTACAAAAGTGAGCATGGACGCAACCGTGTTTTAAACTAAACGCGTAACAGATGCCTGATTCTGGCCAGAAAAAGTGAAGCATAAACACGCCCTAAGACATCTGCTCACAACCAGAAGGGTGTTAAAGGGATAGTTGAGTTCTTGTTTAAGACTGCCATTGCCTTCAAAGTGGTGGGGCTTTTTTTGTGCAAGGTTATTCTTATTACATGTATATGACATTTCTAGTGCCCTTTTAGAACCTAAAATTGCTATGAAGGTAATTTTAGACCCCAAAATGTGTAAATTTAGATTTAAAAAGGTTAATACCAATTCAGCTCCTCTTTCAAAAAAATATGGTGACCATTAATTAATCAATTAATTAATAATAACAATACATGGGACAGTTGGTTGTGCGTATTATTCATAACCAACACAAAAAAGCCAACAAAAAGCCAATATTGGCATTGGCTGGAATAAAGCGTATAAGGCGCTCGTTTTAAAACGGATGGTTAGAAAATACTGAATATTTGTGGTGCCCCACAAATATTAGAAATGCTATATTTATGGATATTTTAGCCGTCTCTGAACCGATTTTGATCAAAGATGATTTTGTCATCTGAATTGTATATTTTTTCAAATTTGATACTCAGTTTGTCATTTTCTTACAAAAAAATCGTTTTGTGAAGCACCCTCTGCAACAAAACTCAACTATCCCTTTAAAAAGGGAAAGAAGCCGGGCTCTAATGGGGAATTTGACACCATTCATTCCAGAGTTTATCCAATAACAGGTGATATCAATCACCTGGATTAGCCTTCAGTTCTATGACCAACAGGCCTTATGTAATGCTTTCCTTTTCCCTCAGCCGAGAACTCTCCAAGATTTCTCGATAAGACTCCAGGTTTTCTGTGTGCAGACTTTTACGCTGGTCTGGTGTCAGCATATTATGGCCTTCTGCACATGGAAACTGACAACAGAGATGCCAACCTCTTGACACCAAAAAACAGACTGAGTATCCTAAAAAATCAGATTTTGGAGAGGAAAATCGAATTTTCTCGAAAACTAAACACTACCACTGGCCCACCGGGCCAGTAAAATGTCAGAAAATGTTTTACTGGTAAGTACGGTCAAGTAAAATGTTTGCACTTTCATTAAAATTTAATGAGAAAATTGTAGAGCAATTTTTTTTTTGGGGGGGGGGGGGTTGCGGGGGTTTACTTGTATATATTTCTATGCAATTTTTTTTTTTTTAATTTAAAAAAATTTTGTTGAAAAATCGTATTTTAAGAGGTGATATCGTATTATCGTATTTCACTCTTATTATCGTACTATATGTAAATACGATTTAATCGTAGGGGTTGGCATCTCTGTGACAACCCACCCACTTTAACTCATATCATCCTGATTAATGCCCCTTTGGCTCTCAACAGATTAAATATCAACCTGATTGTCTACAGTAATAGCTTTTAAATTACCAAACTATCGCTTATAGTGTGCTACATTGTATATTTGTACCAGGAGCACTTTTTTCAGAATATTTCATGTAGAATGGCTGTTGTACACACAAATCTGTGATTATTCCAAACACCCCTTATTCCTTATGATAATAAAGACAAAGTATGATTACAAGAGGGCATCCCTGTTAAATTAGGATCAAGTGATACTTCTGATCCAATAGCTCTATCAGAAGCTCTACAGGCTTGTGGTTAGTCTGAAAGCGCAGACTTTAATATGATGCTTTAAACAATACAATGCATCTGGAGGCAAGCCTAAATTGGCTTCGCTGTAAAGGGAGATGTAGCCACTGGACACTATGCCTCAGTAGTTTAGTCTATAGATTGATTATTTCAGACCCTACACTGTATGTTCTGTGATATGGCTCACAATGGTTGGTGCTTATTGGTAGTCTGTGAGTGCAGACCATAATTTGACACAAACTGAATTCTAATAGCTGAAAGTGTAGTAGAGACTACAGAGCCTATGTGAGCTAGTCTTGACCTATTCTTGGTTCAGACCCTGCACTGTGCATTATTTAGATGAGGGGCTGTGCCTGTAAGTTAAGTCCACATACGTGTTGCTCCACTAATTATCGCAAATCAATTAGTAACACCGATCTGCAAACTTTTGGTCTCCCAAGAACTTTGAAACCGCAAGAGAATCCCCCCGTATGACTAACATTTCAGAATCCTCCCAGCATTTTGCTAAAGTTTGAGCTGGTGAGTCAGCCCATGGGCGAAATCTGACCCCCGCTCGGCTTAGGAAGGGGGTTGAACCACGGACAGAGATGTGTGTCATGAAAGAACAATCCTAATAGTGGTCTGCTTTCACCCAAACTTTCAGATTATCTTTAATCGTACATCTAGCATTGAAGTCACTACCTTAGCACCATTTTCTCTCATCTGAACAATGTTACCATGCGAGTCCCTTTAATTTGAACTTTCAAAGCTGTCATAGTAGATTGAGAATGGGACAGAAAACTGAAAATGCGATGGGACTCTACACGTTGTCAGGAGTACAATAGGAGAGATGTCTGCTACCATCATCTTTTTCTCAATCCCTCCCCCCCCCCCCCCCCACCCACGTCTTGAAAGACACCTGTGTTCAGGAAGTTGCAGCATTTAAAGGTAAAGACCAGTATTGGAAACGCCCCAATTTCAAAAAATGAAATGGAAGCTCTCATTACCAATCATGTGAAAGAATATGTTTTGACTAATACATGATGATAAAAAATTTGCCGGGAAACCGCCTACTAATTCATATATTTGGTAAATTTGTTTCTCTCATGGTCTGTGAGAGATATAGGGTAGTCCCATATACATCTTTCTGTGTTTAGTGCTTGTAACTTTACGAAGAATGGGCCAAATTTCTTATCATTTTGATGATTCCAGAACCTTGCAGATGCTAGATGCTAGATGACCAACCTTTTCTGATCGATTCCACAACGTTTCTTTCACAATGCAATCGCATGACCATAACTGGTCTTTACCTTTAAATCACTCTATAGCTAGACTGCATAACTAACTCACTTTCAACTCTACACAAATGTTGATATTGGTGGGGTGGAGGAAAGAAATACTCTGCTGCCCTCTTGTGCAAAAAACAGCACAACTTTCAGGAAGTTACTGATTCTATTCTAAAAAACTTCTGAGCAATTCCTGAACTTTAATAACTACATTCATCAACTTCAGTCAGGAATGGAGCACAAGAATACTCTACTGCCCTCTTGTGTTGAAAGACAGCACAAAGCTTTTCAGGAAGTTTCTACATTAAAACTAAATGCACTTTTCTTTCAGCAAACAACAGTTTAATACTGCCACAAGTGGAGGAAAGGAGTACTCTGCTGCCCTCTTTAATATGCTAAAGGACAGCAGAGCTTTCAGGAAGTTCCTGAATTAAAATCGCTTCTGAAAAATGTATTGAACTTCTACAACTTTTCATTTATCAACTACTGTCAAAAGTAGAGCAAAGAAAGTCTCTGCTGCCCTCTTGTGTTGAAAAACAGCACACAGCTTTCAGGAAGTTTCTGCATTTTAACTACATGTAATCAATATTATTTCTGAAAACAAGTTATGTTGGGAGATTTTATAAAGGGGAAATTCCTTTCATAAAAATCCTGGGAGCTTATCAAACCAGTCAAAGGATGTGCCAAATTTGTCTTGAATCATAGTGAATTCATAACATTCCTGTAACAGCCCACTGACCTGCAACCAATCGAGTCTTTCCTCACAAAGGAAGGTTTAAACTATCCACTATGTTGATCCTAATACTGCTTAATATAAGCCATTATTTTCCAGATCAATGGTTCGAGGGCAAATTCAGGAGTTGTCAGAATTTGTGTAAAGCCACAACCAGATTCTATTTCTGTGGATTATGAACTCATCAACTGATTATCGCAATCATCGTAATATAAGAATTATTTTATGAAAACATAATAGAAAACAAATCTATGGTGCCCCATTATGATCAGTGTGGTCTCAACCTGCACTGCACGACCTGGTGACACTGTCTGTGGGCGACATGCAACACTTATATATACTTAAAGAGATATCAACATGGAACATTACTTGCTGGAAGTATTTTCACACATTGTTAAATTCAAAAAAATAACTGCTTATAATTTACGACCTCAATCTGGAGGAAGTCACATTTATAAAATAGCATTTATTTTGATGTTTCTGCCAAAATTTAGTCATAGGAAGATAGTGGAGTGGCCTTTGGGCAAGACTAGTCTGCAAGCACAGGCTCTTGGTCGTAGAGCCTTGAGCAGAGCCTAGCTCTGTCTGTCTCTGGCTGTATCCGGAGCAGCTATAGTACAGAACCTATAGGGTGCAGTAAAACGTGCGGTCGATTGACACAGTCTTTTAGTCCATCCAGAAACACTTTTTAATACACACAATGACTGCCTAGGGTTTGTGCCTGTAAACTAGAACAAAGTCATCACACAAAGCCATGCAGGTAATGTCCTTTTTTGGCAAGAATTTATTTGCAAGAATAAAAAGGAAAATGCTTACCTTTTTCTCCTCCTCATCAAAATCTGGGAGCTCATTCTCACTGAAAAATAAAGAAAAATTATGAAGGTATTACAATCATTGCTCTTTCAAATTTACATCAACTCTAGTTCTGGTAACATTTCCTTGATTAAGACGAATGCCTGTGACATCAGGGCACCAAAATCCTATGTACAAACCCCCAAATGTCATTGCTGATTCAACTCCAGTTTTGGTAACACGACAACCCACTGCATGCAACCCACCCCTAAATCTTTGACAAAAAACACCCCTGTAATTTTTGTTAATAGGTGATAATAATACAAATGTATAATCTTTGATATATTTCTGAATTGTATATAATAGTGCTGTGTTATATTACCATTGTTATATTGTTATATTGCTTTTGTACTTTAATAGTTTTGTTTGTATTATAGTGTAAATATCTGAGTACTTTGTAAAACAGACAATATCAGCCTTGAGCTGCATGTTTGTGTGTTTTTTTTTCAATAAATCAATTCGATTCAACTCAATACAATGTATGAATATATATATATTTTACATGCAATTGAAAGTTGTAAATTGGTTTCACTTTGATTAATCACTGATGCCTCCCTTGTTATAACCATGATGAAAGTATATATACAATTAGACCGAAAGCTTCAGTCTCTATAATCGTCGGTTGTTCCACTGAGACTACGTCTGGCTCCACTAGACCTCCGGTTATAGAGACTGAACGACTGCCTATGCCAGCCTGTGTTGAACTTATTCCGCTAGATTTTAGCCGCTAGGCCCCTCCCACAAACTTGCCACGGCCGTATTGTTATGCCCCAAAATCCCCCAAAATGTCATTTTACCTCGTTCATTTCCAATTTTAAATTAGGCCTAGGCTATAATACATCGGTTCCACTTACTAACTGGATTGATATAATCCGTTTAATGGTCCCTTTTAAGGAAATTATCGGTCAAAATCGACATCCATGTTGAAAATCTTGCAAGCCGTGTTAAACTCTCGCTGCCGTCAATCTCATCCCTTCTAGTCTACGCCGAAGGCAAAATGATTATGAAGGAAAAACTGTGCGCCATCTACACGTTCGTAATGGCATTATCACAGTTTTTCCTTCATAATCATTTTGCCTTCGGCGTAGACTAGAAGGGATGAGATTGACGGCAGCGAGAGTTTAACACGGCTTGCAAGATTTTCAACATGGATGTCGATTTTGACCGATAAATTTCCTTAAAAGGGACCATTAAACGGATTATATCAATCCAGTTAGTAAGTGGAACCGATGTATTATAGCCTAGGCCTAATTTAAAATTGGAAATGAACGAGGTAAAATGACATTTTGGGGGATTTTGGGGCATAACAATACGGCCGTGGCAAGTTTGTGGGAGGGGCCTAGCGGCTAAAATCTAGCGGAATAAGTTCAACACAGGCTGGCATAGGCGATCGTTCTGTCTCTATAACCGGAGGTCTAGTGGAGCCAGACGTAGTCTCAGTGGAACAACCGACGATTATAGAGACTGAAGCTTTCGGTCTAATATACAATGTACCTGTAGAGTATATCATCTAGTGCAAGAGATACATGTAGCTGTGAAAAATAGTCAATGAGACACCTAGCTTCACCGAGTCATTGATATAATAATAATAGTATGGTTATTTATATAGCGCCGGTATCTGTCAGGTTTTGACACTCATGGCGCTTTACACATATTACCCTGGTTGTAGCCGAGCTGCCCAAGTAGCTAGCGCTCAAGCATATCAGGTACCCATTTACACCTGGGTGGAGAGGGGCAAACGTACATGTAGATTAACGTCTTGCCAAAGGACATTAGTGCCGCGTGGGACTTGAACCCGTACCTTGTGATCTGCAGTCGGGTGACTTATCCACTAGTCCACAACACCTCTACTATATAGATAGCATTACATAAAAGTGTATGTATGGGACAAGGTATAAGAAGTGGGTGATAAATTAGGGTGCAACCATCATAAACCTTGTACATGTTCGTACCTGCCATTGCTGTACACATCTACGTAGTTCCTGGTAGGAAAATCAAGAGTCTATTTACAATTTGGACTATGAAAATAGGGTAATAAGAGAAGTGAACAAACAAATTTTTGAGAAAATGTGGTGGTCTTTTGTGTATTTGTGAATCATACTGTAAATGTATGCATGTATATTTCATTTAACTAAGAATCGTTTTTATCTTTTATTGTATGAGTGAGCTTAATAATACCTTAGTCAAACCAAAAAACTGACTATATACAATTACCAACTCCAAACCGTTCAATTCTTTGCCACTGGAGGCAATATATATTTTCAGCTCTCAATCTTGTGAGGTAAATAGTACATCAAACTATAAAGCACATTTCCCATGACTCTTTTGTGAGTATAAGACAAAGAATATTACAATGATAAACAGTTTGGAGTCACAACTAGACAAGTGTTATTATTCTGCCCTCCCCCTTAAAATAACAACAAATTGGGCTACATTAAGCACAGGATGTCCTGTCGGTATGATAATAGTTTAAGCACATTTCACTTCCATACAATGATCCTGTCTCTTTGGGAGCAATGAGGGTTTTTCCCTAGTATTGACAGGAGCATTGTTTAAACTGTCAATGTCCAGTCCAAAGATTCATACCAAGAAAGGATTGAATCATGAAAAAAAAGAAAAAACAGAAAAACAGACAAAAAGGATGAAAACCAGGGAGGAAGAGAAGGTAAAGTTGGAGATATTTCATTCATGCACAAATTTCTGGTTTTATTATACTTACTGGCAGAATCCATATCTATCAGTGACTCTGTAGATAATGAATGAAGCGTCCTCCCAAGGATCTATCTTTTGTCCTTTGTCTCTTCCCTGGGGACAAAAAAACAAACAAAAACATTTGAAAATACAATTCAATGGCAATAATCATTATTATCCATTGCCTATTATTTCTTGTAAGGGGCTCTTTCAAATTACAGATGTATAAAATAAAAAGAGTATTAAACATAAGGCCCACGTACCAATGATTTATTCAAACCTGGGACCTGTTTCACAAAGCCTTTTTTCGATGACAAATGACAAAAATCAGTGACAAATCTGCTGATAACCAATCAGTAGCAAGGATTTCAGTAGCTTATAACAAAGCCTGTCATTTGTCACTGATGACAAGTTTTGTGAAACAGGTCCCTGATGTTGGGTCTGAGTTGTGTTTAACAAAGGGAAAACTTAGCAAATAAAGTACATGTACATGTATGGTCTATCTTCATTTATTCATCTCAACATTAGACCAAGCTTCGACCCACTGCCAAGTTAATCTTTCTACTATTTTGTAACTTTAAAAGAGATACCGGTATATACTTTAAAAGAGATACCGGTATATACTTTAAAAGAGATACCGGTATATACTTTAAAGGCCCACTGCACTACTTGTAGCTACTTGCGCCCTCTATGTAACAAACGATGCCTAATCGGTGACCATTGGTCCCCCATGATCCTCTTTTTCTTATGTTAACTGAGAGCTGAGTTGATGAGATAACCACCTGTCCAGTGACCTTGCAGGGCAGTCTAATCCCTCCTGTAAACTACGGCAGATAAGCTTTAAAAGAGATACCGGTATATACTTTAAAAGAGATACCGGTATATAATTTTGTATGAATGTATACTAAGGCTGTGCACAACAGTGTAATGAGGTACCCGAGTACACTCCCAGGCTCACAGGCGAATACTCGAGTATTCGGACGCCATATTTTTTTATATATTTTTTTGAATTTTTTTGAATTTTTTTGAATTTTTTTGAATTTTTTTGATTTTTTTTGAATTTTTTTGATTTTTTTTGAATTTTTGGATTTTTGGATTTTTAGGTGGTCTGTCGTTTTCGACAGATCACCTATTGTTTTCGTCAGAATTTTCTTTCTTTATTTATTTATTATTATTATTATTTATTAGGTGGTCTGTCAACGACAGATCACCTATTGTTTTCGTCAGAATTTTCTTTCTTTATTATTATTATTATTATTATTATTTATTTTTATTTATTTTCACACTTTTTTGTTAACAGGATAACTCAAGATCAGTTTAGTCAATTTCGTTCAATTTTGGCACAGTCATAGGTCATTGTCATGAGACGTTAGAGTAACATTTTCAAGGTCATCAAGTTTTCATGACGTCATCCAGGCGCCATTTTGTGTTTTTTTTGGTACTTTTTACTCATGATCATATCTTCATAACGGAAAGGCATTTCTCATTCATATTTATCACGATTAAGGTCAATATCCGTCCGGTCAATTTCAGGTCAGAAAACGTGCGCGCATGCGTACGTCCGCGCGTCATCGCGCGCGCAAAAAATAAAAATGCTCCAAATCGTCTCAAATTTTTTTTGCATACGTTTCAGGCCATTTTAAGCATTTTGCAAAAAACGCGCGCACGCACATGCGCGCGCGTTTTCGCGCGTAATGGCATTTTGCAACAAAAAATCGCCAAATTTTTTATGTCATCATATTTGGCACATTTTTTCAAGCATTTTGATACCTTGATCACCTTTTTCTGACCATTAATAACAGAATGAGCGTCCGTTTAAGATAATTTCCGTGCGTGCGAGCTCTTGTAATACATAGCATACATGGGCAAAAACATGCCTATACAAAATCCATTGTAGCGCTTTAGGATGGAAGATGAACCCAATTTTGTTTTCATATTTTGATAGAGTATGAATTGGAGATATGATTTCATGTCTCATTTGACCCTCAATTAACTCATGACGTCATCATAATGGCCTCCCAACTCAAAATTTCAATTTGCATATTATGACGTCAGCAGATTTCTTGAAAATTGATTGCATCTCTGTAAATATTGATCAATTTTCATCCAAATTTTGATATGTTTTAGCTGAGACAATTCCCTACAGATGCAGTAGACACAAATTTTCATTTTGACGAAAGCATCATGGCGTATTTTTGCGATTAAAGGAGGCATGTCAATTGTTTACATTTTGCGTGTATTCTCTATGGGACATGACTTTTTCTCAAAACTGGATTCTACATCCTGTCTTTTGCGAGCAATATCTCCGTCGTTTTAGCTTTGTTTACGCTGAACTTTGAGTATGTTGTAGCTGAGACAATAAGCTATCACAAGTGTGCCCTTTATTTTTCGATCAGATGCCGGGATCATCCTCATATTTCAATTACAAAGTGGGATTTGTGCATTCCATTTTCCGTTTACGTGTAATCTCTATGGGAAATGTTTTGGTATATCGGTAACGCACTTGACTTCCGACCTCGAGGTCCCTGGTTCGAGTCCGGGCGTCTCCAACAATTTTTTTTCTTCACTTTTTTTTCTTTTTGACCATTCACTCTACCATCTCCTTTGAATATTAAAACACGTACCATCGCAAATAATGTAATAAACAACCATATTTACTTTATTATTACCCTATTATCAATAGATCCATTACTTTTTGCGTGTAATCCTTATTGGAGATGACTTTTTCTCAAATCTGGATTCTACATTCTTGTCTTTTGCGAGCAATATCGCCGTTATTTCGGCTTGATTTTTGTTGATTTTTTAGTATGTTGTAGCTGAGACTATATACTATCTAAATGTTCTCTCATTTTTTTCAGTCTGATGTCATCGTGGTCTGTTGATGATAATCATCAACATCATCATGATCATCATCATCATCATCGTCATCACCATTACTATCAAGATCATCATCATCATCATGATCATCATTGTTTACATGTCTATATAACTTCTCCCTTTCTCAATATAGTAAATATTATAATCTATCATAAGACTTGAAGACAGACCACCTAATTCGTCCCCATGACGAATTAAATGTCTAGTTTTTATTTCTCCCCGTTTTTTGTTCATCGGTTAACTCAAGATCGGTTGTGTCAATTTATTTCAATATTGACACAGTCATAGGTCATTGTCATGAGACGTGACAGTAACCTTTTCAAGGTCATCAGGTCATCATGACGTCATCCAGGCGCCATTTTGTGAAATCACGTTATCCATCATATCTTCATGATGCATAAGCAAAGGTCATTCATATTCATATCACATATATTTCAGGTCAAGGGTCAACAAGTCATGTCATCAAAGGTCACATAAACGTCATGACGCGCACGTACGCGCGCGTCAAAATTTTAAAATGCTCAAAATTACTTAACTATTAAAGGAGAGTACGAATCAGGTCATTTTAAGCATTTCAAAATTTTCCGTCCGTAAGTGTCACCGCGCGCGTTGCGCGCACTCATAACGCGCGGAAAAGGTCAAATTCAAATTGTTTACATGATTTAGATTCCTCTTACCGTAAATGACAATTTACATTAATTTCAGTCACTCTTGACCTTTCATAAGGCCGTGAGCGCGCGTCAAAGTTCAAAATCCGCGCGTGCTGCTATGGGCAATATAATGCAAATTTGATCAAAAACATCCCATTTTAAAAATCAAAATAGCTCTTCAGATAGTCAATTGACCCCAACTTTTATATCATGGTTAGAAAAAGCATGACATGGAGATATGATTTCATGTGTCATTTGACCCTCAATTAACTCATGACGTCATCATAATGGCCTCCAAACTCAATATTTTAATTTGCATATTATGACGTCAGAAGATTTTTAGAAAATTGATTGTATCTCTGTAAATATTGATCAATTTTCTTTAAAATTTTGATATGTTCTACCTGAGAATATTCTCTACAAATACAGTCACCATGTTATTTCATTTTGACAATGGCATCATGGCGTATTTTTGCGATTAAAGGAGGCATGTCAATTTTTCACATTTTGCGTGTATTCTCTATGGGACATGACTTTTTCTCAAACTGGATTCTACATTCTCGTCTTTCGCGAGCAATATCTCCGTCGTTTGATCTTTGTTTACGCTGAGCTTTGAGTATGTTGTAGCTGAGAGAATAAGCTATCACAGGTGTGCCCTTTATTTTTCGATCAGATGCCGGGATCATGCTTATATTTCACTTACAAAGTGGGATTTGATAATTCCATTTTCCGTTTACGTGTAATCTCTATGGGAAATGTTTTGGTATATCGGTAACGTACTTGACTTCCGACCTCGAGGTCCCTGGTTCGAGTCCGGGCGTCTCCAACAATTTTTTTTCTTCACTTTTTTTCTTTTTGACCTTTCAATCTACCATCTCCTTTGAATATTTAAACACGTACAATCGCAAATAATGTAATAAACAACCATATTTACTTTATTATTACCCTATTATCACTAGATACATTACTTTTGGCGTGTAATCCTTATGGGAGATGACTTTTTCTCAAATCTGGATTCTACATTCTTGTCTTTTGCGAGCAATATCGCCGTTATTTCGGCTTGGTTTTTGTTGATTTTTGAGTATGTTGGAGCTGAGACTATACGCTATCTAAATATTCTCTAATTTTATTCAGTCTGATGTCATGATGATCATCATTGTTTACATGTCTACATGTACATAACTTCTCCCTTTCTCAATATAGTAAATATTATAATCTCTCATAAGACTTGAAAACAGACCACCTAATTCGTCCCCATGACGAATTAAATTTCTAGTTATTATTATTATTATTTATTTTTATTTCTCCCCGTTTTTTGTTCATCGGTTAACTCAAGATCGGTTGTGTTAATTTCTTTCAATTTTGACACAGTCATAGGTCATTGTCATGAGACGTGACAGTAACCTTTTCAACGTCATCAGGTCATCATGACGTCATCCAGGCGCCATTTTGTGAAATCACGTTATCCATCATATCTTCATGATGCGTTATCAAAGGTCATTCATATTAATATCACATATACTTCAGGTTAAGGGTCAACAGGTCATGTCATCAAAGGTCACATAAAGGTCATGACGCGCGTCAAAATTTAAAATTGCTCAAAATCACTAAACTATTAAACGAGAGTACGAACCAGGTCATTTTAAGCATTTCAAAAATGTCCGTCCGTAAGTGTCCCCGCGCGCGGTGTGCGCGCTCACAGCGCGCGGAAAAGGTCAAATTCAAAAAGTTTACATGATTTGGATTCCTCTTAACGTAATTGACAATTTACATTAATTTCAGTCACTCTTCATATTTCATAAGGCCGTGAGCGTGCGTCAAAGTTCAAAATCCGCGCGTACTGCTATGGGCAATATAGTGCAAATTTGATCAAAAACATGCCATTTTAAAAATCGAAATAGCTCTTCAGATAGTCCATTGACCCCCAATTTTTATATCATGGTTGGAGAAAGCATGAGTTGGAGATATGATTTTATACCACCCTGACTCGTACAAAGTGAAATAAAGTCATCATATTGGCATCTAAACTCAAATAAATGTATTTTGTTGATGACGTCATTTTTGTATTTGTTTATTTGAGATTATCTCACTTATCGGTGATCGATTTTCTCCCAGATTTTGATATGTAGTAGCTGAGATAATTCTCTATCAGAAATATGTCATTTATTTTTCATTTATGTGACGTCATCATAGTTAAATATTCCATTAAAGGCGACAATGCATAATTTGTCATATTTGCGTGTTATGTCTATGGGAGGTCACTTTTTTCAAAACATGAATCTGCATGACAAGGTGCTTTGACCAGTATCTCGGTTGTTATTCAACAGTTTTCTCCCAAATTTTAGTATGTTGTAGCTGAGACTATTTGCTATTTAAATATTTCCTTATTTTTTCAATCAGACGTCAGGATCATGCTTGTGCTCATCATCATCATTAACATTATCGTTTTTATCATCATATAACATTATCATTATCATCATCACCTTTACTATCATGATCATCATCATGGTCATCATGATCATCATTGTTTACATGTCTATATAACTTCTCCCATTCTCAATTCTATCATAAGACTTAGACAGAGCACCTTATTCGTCTTCGTGACGAATTAAATTCTAGTTTTTCTTTTTTTTCTTTTTTTGCCACTACCATACCACTCGGCAGTTTCTCAGGTCCCTCGCTGAAAACGCATGCAACTTTACTTTGAGTTGCAGTTGAAGGCGCCGATTTAATAAGAATAATAACAGTAAACAATGCTGTTTTAAAAACCAAAGATGGCAGAATAATCCATTTTCCTCCAAGTCCAAACAGAAATCTGGACATTTGGTCCCAGTTTCTGAAAGGTGAGTTTGACAGTGCTTGAGTTGGGAAACATTTTTACCGACGGTACCATGCCAGCGGACGCTGCTCTCCCTGGCACGGGTAAGCGTGGGCCTGGACATTTTTTTTTTTTTTTTTTTTTTTTTTTTTTAATTTTTTTTTTTTTTGCGGCCGAATATTCGGGTACAAGAAATCGTACCCGAGTAGTTGTCAACCGTGCGGGTACTCGAGCATTCGACTACCCGTCGCAGCCTTAATGTATACACTTCAGCTGAGAAAAGGCTTATACATTAAAATATTGAATGTACATGTAGCTAACTAATGGAAACATCTTTCAAATGCTAATCAGGAACTATTATTATTATATCTATAAACACTTTAAATAGAGATGGTATTTCGTATTAAAGTGCTATATACTGTATATCCGGATATTTACTATTGGGTAAAAAAAGCTTTTGCAAAATAAAAAAATTGTGACTTCATTTTAACTGCATTAAACTTTCATACAACTACCGGTATTCCTTAAACTTATTTTAAAATGTTACGTTTTTTATTGCATGACAATGCCAGAAAAACTTAAAGAGTGAAGAGAATTGATGACGTTACCTTGTCGTATTTGAGTACAATGTCAAGGCGCTCTTTCTGGGCTCTTTGAAGCGCCTCCATTTCTTGTGTTTCCGCTGCCACAAAATGAAAGAAAACAAGAGAAAATTAGTTAGTTCGTAGATGACATCTATCCATCCTTTGAATTTATGTACATGTAAATAAAATGTTCAGTTTTAATTGAAAATTGCTAAAAAGCTGACTTTAAATCTGAAGATTCATCCAATCCCCCACCCCCCAAATCTTGTCTTAATTTCTCCCTGGGAATGCCACTCTTCGGAATCACTCCTGGGGGGGGGGGGCGTTTCACAAAGATTTTAAATCAAACTTAACTCTAAGTTGGACTTAAACATTATGGAGAGCAATTTGTAGCATTAAAATAAAATATATTAAAAAGCGAAAATTTAAGTATTTTAGACTTTTCATAAATTCCACATCAAGAAAACGAAATCTCGCATGATAATAGAAAACATGAACGATTTGAATCAACATTTTATGTCTTTTAAAATAACTTTTACGAAATATTTTCAATAATGCTCATGGCTTTCCATAATTGTAAGTCCAACTTTAGAGATAAGTTCAACTTAGGATCTTTGTGAAACACCCCCCAGGAGTCCTGGCATGTCAAGCATGAAATCCATCTCTAAATTCAGAAGTTATGCATCTCTGATGGTGAGGTGTCTGAAGATTCATTCAATCCCCCACCCCCAAATCTCATCTTGATTTCTCCCTAGGAATGCCACTCTTCGGAATCACTCCTGGCATGTCAAGCATGAAATCCATCTCTAAATTCAGAAGTTGAGCATCTCTGACGGTGAGGTGTCAAGAGTCATTCCCAACAACTTCCGGCATTCAACGAGCCTTTCGTCACTGGATAGCATTGCATTTCCTCATCGAGGTGCAGGTATATAAGACCCGTTCTCATTAGACCATTTCTCAAAATAGCCAACGGAAGCCTCATTTACATGTGATGCGGTAACCCAGCCAACAAGAAATAAACAGAACCAGCAACATGAAATAACAACAACAAAATAATTGTAGTGGACATCACAATCTGTTATAGACAACGTACATGTACATGTACATGTAAGTAGTGAGTAGACAACGTGAGTAGTTGTTTAAAGGGCCTCTATTACGCATATGATCCTCACGCCACCAGTAATTTATTATCGAAAAATAGTGTTCAGATACATGTACATGTATGACAAGTGCTACAAAATATCAGTATTTTTTTTCCCTCTGTATCTTACCTGCTACCACACAGATTTCACTGAATTTGTGCAGGACCGTAATGGTCTGCATTTGCTTTTCATAAAGATTACGGTATACAACATTGTTACGCTTTTTTTGCATTGATTTACTGCATAACTGAACGAGCCTTTACGTTGCAAAGTGTCCACATGTATGTTTCAGGTTCAATCTTGTTAGGGCTAGTGGAAACACACCTATGGTATGACGTTTAAGGTTGGACCATACCGGTGTACGCATGGGAATTTGGATTGCTGGGTTCCCATCTACTGTACGAGCTTATAAGTCATCACACCGATAAGATTGCATGGGTTCAATCATCTACCTGTACACTGTAATTCTACATGCATATGCACAAGTGTTGGAGCTACCTGTGTAGAGGTGCTTCGGGCCAACAGTGGCTGCTGGTGTATTGATCAACGATTATTTATTGATATTGTCACATTTCACATTAATAAACATCTTCAAAGGGGGAGTACATTTACATGAAACTGATTCACAAACATAGAAATGTCCTATACATGTGTATGTAAAGTACATGTTTTGAGGTAATAAAATGAAATATTCACAAAATTGACACACCTTTCTCTCATGCCCCCCCCCCCAAAAAAAAAAAATCTCAGCTTTCACAAAATTCAGTTTAATCATAATGAAGTATAATAGCAATTCTCTGAGATGTTGCTATGTAACTAAAGCCTAAGACAAGCAGACCATTGAATAATTACATCTGAAAACAAGTTGGATGCATCTAAAATCACAAGAAACCTCACTAATGTTGATATGCAAGTATTAGCCTGAGGTAGGCAAAGACCATTTACCTATGAATTAGCTTTAATCAGATGACAAAGTATCTTATATCAACAATCCAAAGCCTATATGTGATGTTGCTATACCAGGAAATCTTAGGCAATTACAGTTAATTAACCAATCTAAATTAGTCATTCTGCATAAAAATCTCTACAACTGCAATAAAAAGAAAAACCCAGATATGCCATCTTGATATACCAGGAAAACCTTGGACAAGCATACATGTACATGTACATGTAGATCATTAGTGTCCATCATCCTTGAATGTAAACACGTAATCAAAAGAAAACATTCAATGTCAACCTACGTGATACTTGAGGTAGTGCTTCGATACTCTCATACTCAACGACGCTGAAGTCAACGAACTTGCGATAAATCCCTTGAAAGAAGGTACCAACACGGGTCAACATCCTATGGCAATGCCTGACATATCACCACCCATCTTTCGTGCGTGATTCAAAACAATCAGCATCTCAAAACAATCAAGTACGGCACATAGCATCATTACAGATCAGCGCAATTGCGTTCGGTCAAAACTCAAAACTACAGAGTAATCCCATAATTATATGTACATGTACATGTACGCCTTTTATTTCCATGGCCAGTATAGATTTTTCAAACGATAATGGTACAGAGAAGCTGCGCATAAAAATCAGAAGCTAAAAATATCGCAGTCCAGACTTCACTCATTCATTCACCCGATATGCAAATGAGCTTTGCGTAATGACGATAGCCAAGTTAACGAGCAAGGTTTCAATGCGATAAAGATCAAGTGACCACCCAAAAATATCTGCTGTTAAAATATGATGGTTCGTTTTCAAACAAAGTTATCTAGTATATTTCCTTCTTTATCAGCATTTATCCAAATTTTAGGAATAAACTTTGAAAACATCAAGAATTACATGATATTTTACATCAATTGTTCGTACTAAACATGTCTTTCTATGCAATCTCTCTGGGTCAAAGGGGTTGAGGAAGGAGCGAGCAAACGAGAATTGACAGAATTGGATTTGGAGGGAGTGTGTCGGGAGGGTGAGTAGGCATACCCGTGATTATTCAGATTTGTCTGGATTTTATTGATTTGTATCTGACACTGGCGTAGCCTCAATCAAGCTCGCATACTAGTAAAATACTTTTTTTAAAGGTTCAAGTCAGGATTAACAGGTGAAAATGACTGTGAAACTTTGCATCTAAATTCCAGCTTAATTACCAGTCAATTAATACTTCCACCCCCCCCCCCCCCCACTCTCCCTCTCTCTCTCTCTCTCTTCACTATTTTTATTCTTCCATTCCCTTTAAAATTGGTATACAATAATATCATTACTGTTATCATTATTTGATTTGGGTAAAGAGTCTGAATAGACACAATTAATATGTTTAATAACGGCAGGTTAGTATTACAATATGTACAGTACATGCATTCACTGACAGAAAAATAAATATAATTATTACATTAAACTGTAATACAAATTTCTTTCTTCAATACGGCTTCCTTCAATATGGCTTCATTTGACTTCATTAAATTGTATGGTTTCCTCACGTGTCATGACATCATCATGAAAAAAACAATAACAGGGATTAAACCTCAAAACCATATTTTGCCTTCATTACTGTACATCTCGTACAGCTAATAAGATACATGTAGGGTCATGAGAAGGACAGAAAATTACATGATTCATCGATGATAATTGTAATTGTTGCAACAGAAATCAAGCTAGAATGTAAGCTTTGCACACTGTAAAGTTGAAGAGTATAATATTCAAAGCTAAACCTTGTGCAAAACTGCAACCAAAAAAAGGAATCATGATGGCAAAAAAGGAATTTCATGCACAAAAAAAAGAAATTCATTAAAACGAAATTTACAACCACGCGCGACACTTCCAATGCAGAAATATCTATTCCTCATCCTGTCATTTACATATTAGGACGTGTAGTTTTTACAATTAGGTAGTTTTTTGTTTTTTGTTGTATTATCAGCATATCATTCTTTTTGAGAATATATGCATTTCACTTTTATTTTCTTTCTTTTTTGTTTTAATACTATTTGTAAATTTGTGCTCTTCATGAAGTTCTCTATTGAAGAGTAGTGATCAGCATTATATGTACAAAAAAATTATTTTATGAAGAAAAAAACAGATAATTCAAGGAAAACGTAATGGTTGACAGCTCTGAATATGTAATTAGAATTAAAATTCTCTTTCAAAAATTGCTTTGTTTATTTTTGAACTGCACATTCTGTGAGCCAACTTGCAATGAAATTCATTGGCTGCTAAGTGCCAACAATGATTATGGAGTAATTAATCAGTTGCCATAGCGATGTCAACATCCTACCAACCAGAGGATTTGTTGTGAATGAACCGAGATGTTGTGGTTTTTGGTTTGAATTTGAGGATTTGAGGGCCTGTTTGTATACTTGCATTTATACTGTAGGAAGATGAATTCCATGGCTGATTAATTGTCCCATAATCATTGTTGGCAGCCAATGGATTACAATGCAACTTGACTCACAGAATGCGCAGTTCAACAAATAAATCTTAGGGATGAGAATGAGGGGACGAACGGATGGTATCATGGTACAAGATTGCAGAGTGCAAGCTCAGACCCTTATTTGAGACTTTACAAGCATAATAATCGTAAAAAAACAAAAATTTGGTACCCAACTGATCACCAATACCGGTAAAGAAGAAAAAACTTTTGACTTTGATGTATTTTTACAAATGTTTCACTTTATAGGATGTACATGGAGCTACACCTCTCACCCTCCCCCTTTTCTCTCTCTCTCTCTCTCTCTCTCTCTCTCTTTCTCTCTCTTCCTCCCTCTCTCTCTCCCTCACCTGCCCCTCCTCTCTCTCCTCTCTTTTTCTATCTTAACCCCTCTCCCCATCCTCTTACCATCCCATCTTCTCTCCCCTTCCCTTCTCCCCCCCCCCCCCCCCCTTTCTCTCTCTCTCTCTCTCTCTCTCTACACTTCCCCCATCCCCTCATCATCCCCTCATCATCCCCTTTTCTATGCCCACCCCAG